AGCTCGAGACGTTCAGGTTCTAAGATGTTGTGATGTCATTTAACTTTATCAACAAAAATAATTTAAACAAATCGGTACTAAACGACTTTCTCAGCCTTGAAAAAAATCGAGACTGCGAGACAGCTTTGTGAGAAAAATTGAGACTGTGAGACGCACATAACCGCTAAAAAACTAGACTGCGAGACCCGTGAAATTCGACGAAAATTTTGCGAGACCATGGGTACGTTTTTAAAGGACCATTCGCCACCCCTAGTTAACAACATTATTAACACCCGAGATGACGCCAGTCGAGCAAAACCGTTCGTGTAATTAGCGAACATTATTTGTCGTATCATTCGCATTTTCACGTTTAGAATTTTCTTAATACTGTATATCAACTGCTTACTCCGTTTATTTGCTCATTAGCGTCCGATAATGGGGAAAAGTAGTTGTCGAAACGCCATGTTTTGATCGCAGATAAAAGGAATGGCACCGTGACTCACTGTCCGTGTGATTAGCCGGAAGCGAGGACCTGCCATTCCGCACTGAAGAAAACTCAAGTCAGCCTAGTGTTTCAAAGAACGGTCCTGAGTGGTCCAAACCTGGAAACAGCCGGTAAAAGATTCTAATTTAAACACACTGTCAACCGCATTGACAATTATTGTGTAGTAAGTTGAATACACAATGTAGACAGGAAGCCATTAATGGGATCTTGATCGCGGTTACCAGCATCTCATATTCCTGTCTCAATTCACGCGTTTTGGAAAGTATCTGAAGTTGCCGTCATATTTATATTTTTTGGTGTTAACTCCGGCAAAGTTTGTCTTCAAAACCGTTATTGTGCCTCTTGCAGTAACACTGACAGCTCACAAACACTCTCGTTTTCAAGGTGGGTAGGATCCTTATGTTTTTATCCAAACTACAAATAATTGTTATACACAAGAAAGATAAGGTTAAGAAAACTTAATATGATATCAAAAAGTGCATTTCCTTTTTCTCGTGAAGACAAATTCAGTAAACAGTTTTTGAAAGAACCTTTCGTTGCAATTTTGAGCTTTTTGTTATGAAGCAATTATTTACCATTGTTTCTCTATATAAATTATGGTTTGGAAAACGCAAGTTCTAATCCTGATAATCTTCTCAAACTACTAACATTACTTAATTAAAAACTACTCTTTAAATTACTGGATTCAGAAATTTGAGTTTTCCCCTCTTCCGGCTACCTTGGACAATCATATGTTTAATCAAGTTTTCGGCGAGTCGTGCATTTCATTTAGGCATTTTAAGGCATTTTAAAGGCATTTGGAACATTTTACTGTAAAACACTTGGGAAATCTTCATAATCATGGTGTGTCTGTCTATGTGAAACAAACCTTGCTTTATACCAGCCTTAATAATTGTACGCAAAGATCATAAAAAACATTTAACGGAACAATGTGAAAGCTCTCGCCACGAGCCTTACTCAAATTGCGAATGAACATTTTTTGGCAATCATGTGAACAGTTCTAAAGATAGTTTGGATAACTTTATAGCAAATGTAAAGAAATAATTGCTTCAATTTATGCTTTAGCTTTTTTTAGCTTGGTTTTGTCCTATTGAAAATTGCTTGACAATTTATCAAAGAAAAAGCCATCATGACAAATTTCACATTTGCAAGAAATTGGAACATTGACAACGTTATTAGCTAAATGGAACGACTGATATCCTTTTTCCTTCATTTTTATCTAGATCTTCCTTCTTTTTTTGTAATCTATATCTTTGCGACAGGT